TGTTGCTGAGGTAACAGGGAGTCTTGCATGGGGTTGCCTCTCTCTCTTGTTTCTCCTACTAACAGCCAACTTCTTATGATTACCCTCTCACTAGTCATATAATTTAATACCTCCATATTCTAACATTCTACCTCATAAACATCTCAGCCAACTACCCAGGCCCCCTTCTACCATTAGAAACTGTAAACCGTTATGCAAACCTATTGACTGTAAGGTAGAAGATAACCGAACTCATCATTTCTAATTATAGTGACAAAACTGTAATGTAAAAATAGAAGCTAACCAATATATGGCTGCTCGTTGGGTACATTGAGTGCTGTAATATTGATCTCTCCCTTAAAAGTGAGGTATTGGTAACCTATAGGCCTACTATAAGACAATAGGGCAGAAGCTGTAATACCTCAAATCTATACTCAAGTGAGGAAGACTCATAGACATCATGAAAAAACAAGGGAGGAAAGTGTCCCAAACAAACCATGATACTACAACCATAGAGTCCATAGATAGTGCAGTAGGTGAAATGTCAGAGAAGGAGTTCAGAATATACATAACTAAAATGATTTGGGAATTGAAGAACGACCTAAGTGAGTAGATGCAGGGAAAAGTTGATCACTCCAACAAAGAAAACAACAAAAAAAAAAAAAAAAAAAAAAAACACAAAAAACCCCAGAAATCCTCATAATGAAAACAACAAAAAAACCCAGAAATCCTCAAAATGAAAGAAACAATAAGCCAATTAAAAAAACTCTATAATTTATAGCATCACCAACAGACTAGATCACTTGGAAGTCAGGAACTTAGACAATGAAGACAAAATATACATTCTTGAAAATAAAGTTGACCTCACAGTGAAGATAGTAAGAAACCATGAACAGAATATCCAAGAATTATGAGATACCATTAAAAGACCAAATTTAAGATTTATTGGGATAGAGGAAGGTTCCGAGACTCAAACCAAAGGAATGCACAATCTCTTCAATGAAATAATAGTAGAAAATTTCCCAAGCATGAAGAATTAACTGGAAAATCAAATACAAGAGGCCTACAGGACACCAAATGTACAAAATTACAACAGTTCTACACCAAGACACATTATAATGAAAATGCCTAGCCTACAGAATAAGGATAGAATTTTAAAGCCTGCAAGAGAAAAAAATCAGATTACCTATAAGGGAAGACCAGTTTGTATCTCAGCAGATTTTTCAACCCAGACTCTCAAAGCCAGGAGAACCTGGAACAACATACACCAAGCTATGAATGCAAATGGATGCCAACCAACAATCTTATATCCAGCAAAATGAAGCTTCAAATTTGATGATGAAATAAAAATCTTCCATGATAAATAAAAGCTAAAAGAATTTACAGCAAGAAAGTCTGCACTACAGAACATTCTTGGCAAAATATTCCATGAGGAGAAAATAAAAAACAACAATGAAAATCTGCAAAGGGAAGAACTACAATAAGGGATAAGCCAACCAAAGGAGAAACCAAGTCAAGCTGAATATCAAAAATTAAAAAAAAATTAGCTGTAATATAATTCATGTCTCTTTCAACTCATTTTAATAAATGTTTACACATAATAATTTTAACTATAATATCTAATTTTTAAGCTTTTGTTTATTTCATATTATTTTGTTTTCCATTTCTCTTCACAAAGTTACACAAATATGTTCTTTAAAAGTTTTAGCATTTTATACATTATATTTTAACATATAATTAATTTGGTATGTGAATATACATTCCCTGTGATATGAGATGAGGTATATTTTACTCTCTTATAATTAAAAATCATTATTCAAGATTCAAGGATGAAAAAGCTTAATCAGAGTAAAAATTGTTTAATAAGGTATTTATAAAGGTAAGGGAGAGGTTGAGAGAAACTAACAAATTTTGTGAAGCACCTTTCCTTTTGTAAAATTGGAGAGGTGAGAGGTGAAATAAGAGAGAGCCATTATGAAAAACTTGTAGGACAAGGTGACCTAACTGAAGTTATTCCCACCAAAAGCAGGTAGAAAACAACTCACAGTCTAATATAGAGTCTTTTTTTTATAAAGAGAGAGGGAGGGGGAGAGAGAGAGAGAGAGAGAATTCTTTTAATATTTATTTTCTTAGTTCTCGGCAGACACATCCCTGTATGTGGTGCTGAGGATCGAACCCGGGCCGGACGCATGCCAGGCGAGCGTGCTACCACTTGAGCCACATCCCCAGTCCCCTAATAGAATCTTATAGGGAGGAATAAAACACCTTGCTCTACTCTTGTATATTTTAAGTAATCTCTTTGATGTCCCTTTCTGATGGAACTCAACAAGAAACCACATAACAAGAGGACTTATCATGTAGCCTACAGCATATGTCTCACCAAAAGGTGAAAGATGGAGAAAGGAGCCAATATTGGCAGCCATTGGTTACATGAGGCTACTGAAATTTGAAATGTGTCTAGTCTGAATTGAGGTGTGCTATGTATGTGTTAAATAGACATTAGATTCCAAAGACTTACTGGGACAAAGAAAATGAACATGAAATACTTTACTATCTTACTAACAATTATATTCTTTGCAAATTATGTTGGTAATCCATTGGTTTAAATGAAAATGTATTAAAATTAATTTCTCCATTTGTTTAAAAAAAAGAAGGAGCACAAGCTAACCTATTCTGTATCTTGACAGTAGTACTATATATCCATATATATGTTGTCATTTTTTATATTTGTGTTATCAAAATTTATATAACTTATATAACTATAAAACTAAACAGGATAAATTTACCATATATAAATTATATCTCAACAAACATGACTTTAAAAAGAAGTATTTTAACAGTATTGGGCACATACTAACCACCTGATAATAATAGCTGTTATTATGGTTCATTAAAACAACCAGCATCAAGATGTTTCATAGTGGGGTAGAGAGAGAGAGCATGGGAGGAATAGAAAAACTCTAGATAGGGCAAAAGGGTGGCATGGGAAGGGAGGGGGCAGGGGGTTAGAAATGATGGTGGAATGTGATGCTCATCATGATCCAAAGTACATATATGAAGACACGAGTGGTGTGAATATACTTGTACATAATCAGAGATATGAAAAGTTGTGTTCTATATATGTAATATGAATTGTAATACATTTTCTATTGTCATATATAACAAATAAGAATAAAAAATAAAATAAATAAATAAAAAAGAAAAGAAAGGAACTTCAAGAATAATATCATCTGCTGATTGGCTGTTGCATTATTATTATTATTATTATTATTATTATTATTATTATTATTTGGTACTGGAGATTGAAATCAGGGGTGCTTAACCAGCGCTGAGCTAGTCCCTAGCCCTTTTTTTGTGTTTATTTAGAGATAGGGTCTCACTGAGTTGCTTAGTGCCTCGCTCTTACCCAGGCGAGCTTTGAACTGGTGATCCTCCTGAGTCGCTGGGATTACAGGTGTGTGCCATGGTGTCCGGCTGCATTGTTCTCATTTATGAAATTATATGATTAGTAGAACCTACTGGAATCTTTTCTACTTTGGCTTGGTGTTTCTACCCAAAATAGAAAAACTTGCCTAGAAGTAATTGTAATTTTTTAAAAATTGGTGTGAGAAACACCTGCACCGAATAAAAAACAACGATGCAATTGAATTGTGGGGTATGAGGAAAGCACATTCAGACAAAATTCCATGTTTGCTATGAGATTGAAGGGGGGCGGAAAGCTTCATGGATGTATTCAACTCTGCCTTTAACAAGAGGAATGCATTGACTGCACTCATTTCACCCTAGAAAAAACAACTTCCTCTTTCTGATGCCATTTTTTTCCATATCTAATATTATCTGTTTGCCACTGGTAGTCCCCTTCACCATGAGTGAAGGTCACATCGAAGCAACATATGTGGCAAGGAAAATACAAAGATGGATGAGTCATGATGTGTAGCCCCTCTGAAAGGTCTTTGGACATTCCCTACTCACTGAAATACGGATAGAATACAGGTAGCCATCTGGAAAGGTTTAGCATATGTCAGTGTCCATCCTCCTAAACCAAGATAAAGTTAAATTTCCCCAGGAGCTAATTTCACCCGAAATAAAGGACCCATCTCTTCCCTTCCAATGACTGGTGAAAAGGTAAGATATTTTTAGAACATTACATCTCAGAAGGCTCATCAGGATACAGTATTTGGGGTGAAAAATGGAATTTGAGTCTCTGACACTTATCAGTTGAATCATGAACAAATTACTTGAACTCATTAAGCTTTAGTTTCCCATCCATATAATGGGGTGGTGGTCCTCCCTTTTTAAATAATACTGCAAATATTTCATAAGTTCCTACGCACACGTATAAAACCGATGGCACAAAGTTGGGTTAACGTGCTTTATAGAGGAAGTCAGTGTTCAGAGCATAAGCAAAATGGGGGCCTCCAAAATGAGGGAAAAAAGCGTAAAATTATTTGATTTTTTTAAAAGGAAATTATTAAACTAGATATCCTCATTAAAAAAAAAAGATTGCTTATGTTTTCTCACACTTTTAAAAAGTACGTTTGACACTTTGGTGCTGTCCTATTTTAAGTCACACATGTAGAAATGGCCCCAACTTCTCAGTGCTTGGTTACTTAAAGGACATTTGGCTCTCTCTTGTCTCTTCCTCTCTCCCTGGAGTCTCTCCTCCTGGGACCTCACCCAGTGGCACTGAGCCATTTTATTAAATTGAATATGCACAGATATTTAAATACATTTATGCTGGTGTACTTGGGATCCAGCTTTTGATTCATTGTGAGTTTTCCCCCTTAAAATAATTCAAGGCCATGCATATCTGTGTCTCTCCTATTTGTTTACTTTCTGTCTGTGGTCTTTTGGCTTATATTTTTCTATATTGCTTGATATATTTTCAAGTTCACAGACCCTGATGTCTGATGGAGTTTTCTGGCCTAGTATGCAGAAAACAAACCAATATCTATTAAAAAATGTAGAAAACTAACTACAAATTCACAGGTGGTAAATATTTAAAATATAATGGAACTCACGGGTTTTCCACTTTCTGACATTTTCGTTATGGAGACAAATTGATGTACAGCAAAGCACACCAGGTAAGTGCTCATGGGAACAGACTTCTGAAAAGTTGTTCGCATCCATTGGTCATCCACTGACTCTGTTATCTATAGAATACAAAAGATAATTTTTCATTTATCAAGAGATCAATCATGTCCAAGACAAACAAATGGTGACCCCCGCCCCAGCTCTTCTCTCTACTCAGGAGCTTTGCCAAAGCTCAGAAGTAAAAATTTTTGTGGTGATGTTGAAAAGACTAAAGGAAAATTCACATTATTTTAAGTATTGTGAAAGAGTAACTGAATTATATGCAGTATTGGGTTTCTCTAGGAAAAACAGAATTTGGACTATGATGTCAATTGGATGAGAGTTTATCTTTCTACACTAAACAACAATCCTCACCATAATATTTTAGGGGGTATTTTGATCTGTTAATAAAGGATAGGCTAGTGTTTAATATTGTCAGGGAGAAAGAACTTAGTAAATGTTTGCTGACTTGAGTACATGCCGGAGGGGAATCACTCTATCAAGAATAAATGAATGGTGGCTTCTCTTCTCCACTTCTAGTTGTCTACATAGAAGACCCAAGGTATGGCCTCTAAAGTCAGTGCCTTGGTTACCATGGACAGAGAGAAGGATTCCAGTGCTTGACATACTCCTTCTCTGTCTGTTTTTTTTTTTTTTTCCACACCAGCTCTGCAGTCCTCCCTGTCAATCATGAATCCTAATACTTCAACAATGAATGCTTTCTCAATTCTTGGTACCATTGTTTAAATGCTTCCACTTCCTCTTATAGCTTCTATTTAAGTGGGAAGCTTTACAAAGAGATTAAATGAGGGAGGCTGAACTAGAATTGATCTATGATTGACATTACGTGTATGTGCTTATAGAAAAGTGCTCGGGTTCCAGTAAGGTAGTCACTCCACGATGAAAGACGAATAGTATTAGTGTTGATCTCCTAATGACCTGAAAATTTTCCCTTTTCCAGCTCTATTGTCTGGATCTAGAAGAAGGTCAAGAAATATAACTCTGTGAAATGAAAGGTAATGTGGGGAGACTGTGAGCCGAGACTGGTAAGTTTGCTTTCCCCCTCCCATTCTCTTCCCTCATTCATGCCAAGACATTCTGATGATGCTGTACCCTGAACCCATCTTCTGGGTCAATGTGTCACACTTTAACTTTATTCTTTCCTCTCTCTTATCCAACCATACTTAATTTCTCATGTGCCTGATATCAAAAGAAATCAAGTTTAGAAGCTAGTTCACATGGAGGCATGGATGGCATGGATGGCATGGATGACGACAGTTTACATTTTAACCCTCTAATGTTTTTGTTTTGTGTTTGTCTTTTCAAGGGATATTTTATTATCAAAAGAGAAGAATTTCAGTGATGACATTTCAGGCAGTGAATCAGAAAGATCAGAGGTATAATTTCAGCCTCAGTGTCCTTCTGGTACTAAATAAATGATAATTATACCTAAAGATGAGACCTACTCTTTGACATGTCAAAGGTGTAAAGTATGTTGAACTTCAACTTTGAGGTAATGATATTCTAGTTAACTACATTACCAATTATAGAGGAAAGAGTCTTATGTTAATTAATGATTACACAGGCAGAAATTAGTGTAGCCTGTTATTTATCCAGCAGTTGACAAACATTTCCTGTTCTCAAAAAAAAAAAAAAAAAAAAAAACTACAGGCATGTTTTTTGCTGGAGTTGGCTTCTACAACCCAGTATTTAAGATTTTTCACAGTAGTTTTTCGGTGTTTAAAAACTGGGTTTATATTCAGCTGAAAATAAAACTACTGAGTTTTATTTTAGGCCCAGAAATATTTCTAAGCCTGTAATTCCATTAGTTTGTCATGAATTCATCATTATTAGGGGATTTTGTGAGTTGAGCAAAGTCCCAGCCAATGGATGTCTACTGTTTTCTCTCCTGCACAGAAACATGGAGGTGACTTCTTTACTGGACTGTGATTACTAGAATTCAAAGCAAAAGCGAGTGTTAAAATGTATTCTGAATCTTCTAAACCTACAATGAGTGCACATTTAGCTCTAGAATTTAATGGTTTCTCTTCCATGGCAAATCAGGTATTTTAGCTGATATTATACACACAGACTATCTGCATAAACAGAACATTAAGAAATACTCACCTCCACGGGCATATTTGAAAGTGCATGATAGTCTTTGGGGTGGATGATGGATATGTTGTAAGTTGCCTTTTTGTTGGGCTCATCGAAACATGGGAAGGATTTCCTAGCATCTGTTGGTTCATGGTCCGTGGCCGCTATGCTCCTTAGAAATAAACACATAGACAGAATACATGCTGCGTCTTTTGACAGACCCTATGTTCTTATTCCTATACAAAAAAAAAAATGATTATAACTATTATATTTCTTAACACAAGGTTCCATCTAGGAAAATTATCAAATAACTGTCAAAGTCTGTCCTGGGTTTTTTTAGATTGGCAAATCCATGAAAATCCAGAGACAAACAACTTCCTGTATTTTATTTGAATATTTACACATTTTACAAATCTGTTCAGTGGGCCAAAATAAAATATGAATCATGACTCTCTCTATCCCAAACTCATTGAGCAACAAAGAGATAAATACAAAGCTAAACTCAAAGACCTGTTTCTAACTGTCCTAGAGGTAGCGAGCAGCTGTATTCTGTCACAGAGCAGAGGAGTATCTTCCAGCATCTCCAGGTCCTATCCGAATGACACATTCTGTCTTATTTATGTTATACCACAGACAGAAATCCAGTTTCATCTTCATGCAGAGGCAGTGCTGAGCAATTCCCCAGGTAAAGTAAACTTTGGCCTGATTTAAAACAAATCCACCTTTTGGGGCCGGGGATGTAGCTCAGTGGTAGACAGGTGCTTAGCATGTCTTAGCATCCCCAGCAATTTTTTTTTTAAATTTTTAAAAGCCCATTTTTGAAACATCAGCATTCTCTTGTGACTCTAGGCATTTTCCTGTGTTCACTAAAATGTTAATGTTTATTATTTCTAGAATTTCAAAAGGAAAATATTTTTTTTTTGCTGAAAAATCTTCTCAAAATCAATTAAATATACATTTTATACCTGTAAACATATTAAAATAAGGCAACAGTGTTGTGTATTTGCTCATTGGAAAACTAAACAAAGTAAAAAGTATAAAAGAAAGGAAAAGTAAAGCAATGTTGATTTATATTCATTAATAATTTGTAAAAGGAAAATATTTTGTTCTTCAGGATTCTCAGAAGCTAAGGAAGGCCTATCATAAAGAGTGCCAACTTAAGTTATCAATCATTCATTTGTCCCACAAATAGGTGTTGTCCCTATACACACACACACACACACACACACACACACACACACACACATTATTCTAGGTGCTGAGGAAACAACAAAGACTTTATAGATAAGGTCCCTGATATCTTATGAAAAGATAGACACCCAAACAACTCAGTCATTTAGAAGAGCAATGAGAGTTAAACAGAAATAAACCAGGGGAGATGGTCGACAGTGACCCAGGAAAAGTGATGAGCAATTTCTGGTAGAATAATCAAAGGGGAGCTCTTGGAATGAATGATGGTGTGCTGAGGTCTAGATAATCACAAAAAAACCAGACAGGTGAAGAATAAGGAAAATGTGTTCTAGCTCAGTGAGCAGCGAGTGCCAAGTCCTTCTAGTAAAAAAAGAACCTGGTGCAGTTGAGGAACTGAGAGGTGGTCAGCTGAAACCCAGTGAACCAGGTAATTGAGGCAAAAGAAGAGTTCAGCACAGTCAGATGAGGAGAACAGGCCATGGGAACACTCTGCATTTTTATTTTGGTTCAAGGATTTATTATATACACTAATTTACCTAAAAAGTAATATGCCATAGGTCAACATCCATCCTAGGTAAAATTTTTGAATTTTTTCCAAAAGCTATCTGGATCTAAAAAAAATTTCTTGTTAAAAACTTGGCCAAGAAAACTAATCTATACTAAAAATAAATAAAACCAGAAGACTGGCTATCTTTCAGGACAGTGTTGACTGAAAAAAGGGACATTTTCAGATGATTGGACAACTTTGTTTTCATCATAGAGATATAGATAGCAAAGATGGGCATATTTGTCAAAGTTCCTTGAATCGTGATCATTAGATTTGTACATTTCAATGTATTTTATCTAAAATAAGTGTAAATAAATGTTGAACACAATGAAGTATATTTGTATACTTCACAATGGTATGTGTTAGCAATTTGGAAAACATCCTTCTCCATTTCCTAAGCAGGCAAATAAAAAAAATTGAAGATAATCTTTATGATAGGGCTTCGTTAGCTTCCTTAGCTTAGTAGATTCCTCACTGTTGGGTAAGGGAGTTATATATTTGTAAAGGGAACACTAAACTGTACTCTGTGGGGCTGAATTGTAATGACATGTTTCATTGTGATTTCAATGATTTTAAATACAAGTATAAAAAGCAGATGATACAGAAATACAGAGACATATATGCCCTTGCTTTATCTACTGAGCAAGACTGGAAACAATGACAGGCTTGAAGTAATGAGCACAATTAGTTCCCAGATGACTTTAAAATATCATTCTCTACTGAAAGAAACCAGGGCTCCTTGGAGAAATGGCTTATTCTGGTGCTGGGTCAGGAAAATTCCAAGATGATCTTGGAATATCTAACTGTGCCAAAAAGTCAGGAAATATTCAAAGAATCATGGGAACAAGTTGAAAGGACACAAGAGCCTGCTTGACGTGAGCACCACTGGACAAACTTGGGAGAACTGGAAATCAAAATAAATAAGGGAATTCATGAATCCATGAATCCTTATTCTGATTTTCAAAACAAATAAATAAATAGGGAGGAAGGAAAGCTCTTTCTTAGTTTGCAAACTCATAATTTTAGTAGGAATAATGGTCTTACAAAATCATCAGTGGTAAATTTCATCTCACTCCAATCAGAATGGCAGTCATCAAGAACACAAACAATAATAAAATGCTGGTAAGGAGGCAGAGAAAAAGGAACACTTTTATACTATTTTGGGGTCGTAAAAATAGTACAACCATATGGAAATCAGCATGGGAGTTCTTCAAAAGAATAGGCGTGGAACCACGGTATGACACAGCTATAGCACTCCTTGGTATTTACCCTGAAGAAGTAAAGTCATCATACTATAGTGACATGTGCATGTCCATGCTTACAACAGTACAATTCATAAGACCCAAACTACAGGACCACTCTAGGTGTCCATCAATGGATGAATGAATAAAGAAAATGGATACAATGGAGTTTTATTCAGCCATAAAGAAAAATGAAATTATGTGATTATGTAATTTGTAGGAAAATGGATGGAACTTGAGGCCATTATGTTAAGTAAAATAAGCCAAACTCATAAGGTCAAAGATTATATGGTTTCTCTTATACATGGAAACTGGAGAGGAAAATGGAAAAAAAGAAGTGATGTTGTGGAAGGTGTTTTGAAAACCAAAGAGAGATCAGTAAAGGAAAGTGACCCTAGGGAGGGAGGGATGCAGGAAATACTGGGGAATGATATTGGCCAAATTATATTGTTATATTGTGTGCACGTACATATATGTAACAACAAATTCCACCATTATGTACAACTATAATGCACCAATAAAAAAAAGAAAACATGGAAAGAGAAGAAAAAGAAGAAAATAAAATCATCAGTGGATGTTCAAACAAGTGGGTAAAAGTTTGATGAGGGATATTTGCATAGTTTCAAAGAATCTTCAGAAAATTACTTATCAAGGAGAAATTGTAACTTTAAAACAGACTCCAGTCCGAATGGCAGTCATCACTGTTGGATTCCATCTTGAGCAAGTGATTAAAAGTAGCATCACAAATAATAGTATAATCAACAGTCTCCTGATGTGATTTCCTGAAGGAATACAGTGATATTCCTGATGTGTTTAACTTGAATTTTTAAATCCTAAGAGTCAGATGATCTAAAATTAAGTGATATTCTCCAAACAATGCCTATGCTCTTCAAAAATATTGACACTGAGAATGATAAAGAAGGGCTAAGGGACTGTCCTGGTTTCAAGGAGTACAAACAAGCATGATGCTAAATGCAATGCATGAGTCAAGATTGCATTCTGGACCAGAAAAAAAAAATCAATTAGAACATAACTGGGTGTAAATTTGATTATGGACCATGGATTAGATAATTGTATTGTATCAATGTTAAATTTCCTGATTTTGGTAACTGTACTGTGATAATGTTAGAGGATACCACTGTACTTAATAAATATACAGATATTAAAAGAGAAAGGGAGAGAGCCCTCACTGTATTCTCCAAAGGGAGAGCAGGTGGACAGAAAGAGAAAGGGAGGGAGGGAACAGAGGAGTGAAAGTGGGGAAGGAAAAAGAGGGAGATGAAAGGAGAGAGAGAGAGAAAAGAAAAGGGACAAGATGTAAATGACTTCTGAATCTGGGTTAAATTATTTATTCTGCAATAGAATAATTATTGATGAGTTGTGTGGTGTTAACAATTTGGTAAACTGAAGTTCCTAACATCTTATAGATTATATTGAGTGCAAATGCATCAGAATAAAAACTTGCACACTTTCCCAGAGTGTTAAGTTGTGTACAGTGATCCACCAAGCTCCAACCCTATGATAAGTCAGTTGCTTTTGTTCTTCCGAATTCTGGAATCTGATTTTTTTTTTCCAGAAGCAGAGGAAAAGGAAAAGTCACTCCCTGTAAAAATGCTTCACCTTAATCAATAAGTCAGCTAACTAATTTGGGAAAGGGTGGGGGACTTCATGTGGGAGGGAAAGTAAGGAGGGAGTGGATCATTTTCCAAATAATAGCCATTGTGCAGGTTTCCAAATACTCTATTTTGTCCTTGGGTAGATGCTAGATAAACTCCTAAGGACCCAAGAGAGAGGAGGCTTCTCAGTCCTTTAGTGCTCTTTAAAGGAGGTTCTGCTTGATAATAGGCAAAACCTGCCTTTTGAAATCAGAGTACTCCTGAGCTTGCACATGGACCTGGGGCAGATCTGGCTTGGTTCGTCTTGGTGGTCTTCCCAGCAAATCACAGTAAGTCCAACTCCATCACAGTGACCTGGATTTACATCAGTGCAGCCAAAGTGACATTCATCAACCAGCAGGGCCACAAAATGGGTATTTTTTTTTTCTTTGTTAAACTGCAGGATCATATGATTTTAGGGTAAAGCCCTCTTTTAAAACTAAAAATTCTTACATTCTAATCTTACTTTGATCCCTTAAGTGTGATTCTTAAGCAAGTCACAAAACCTTCCAACTTTTAGTGTCCTCAAACTGTAAAA